GCTCGCCCGCCTGGCCCGACTCTTCGACCCTCTCGGGGTTCACCCAGGAGGCTGGCGCGGCCAAAACAACCCCGCCGAAGGGGGTATAAAACGACGCGAAGATCGGGACAAAATCGGATCGGGATAACTCGAAATCTCTGAGAATCGGCGGGCTTGGAGGATGTATTGGGCGCCGCGGCCGCTCCAGAGCGTTCCGGAACGCTCTGAGAGCGCTCCAGAACGCTCTGGAGCGATTTATCCCGATCCTAGCCCTGTTTTACCAAAACAACCCCGCCGAAGGGGGTACGTGCATGAACGGATAGGGCGGGAATCGAGGGCTTGGGATTCACACGTGGAGTGGACGACACGCGGGCAGGGAAGAGCGACCAGTCTCAACATGTCTGCCGATGGTGTTGTTGTGTTTCTCACCCCCCGTTTATTGCTCCGGGGATCGATCGAGGATCGGGGGATCGGGGGATCGGAGGATCGAGGATCGAGGATCGAGGACCGATCGAGGACTGAGGATCTCTTTTTTTTGGTTTGTGGCTGTCTGCGCCCGGCCCGCCGCCCGCCGCCGAGGTCGTCGGGTGCTCCGCCGTCCTGCCGGCCGTCGACGTGGCGCAGGAGGAGGAGCCGGCCTGCTGTGATTCGGGAGGGGAAAAACACACGGACACAATGCATCGTCGATCCCCCAGAAGATATGGGAAACTATGGGAAGTGGGGGAGAGGACGAAAACCCCAAACAACATGGAAAGTTAGGGGGGATCTTTTCATTAGTGTGTATCTATTTGTGTGTCCCGGGGCCCCTTCAGTGGTATCGGCACGTTTTGGGCGTCGCGTAGAAGTTCTCAGGCAGTGGCGAAGCGTCCTGGCGTGCCTGTCGTCCTGCCAAGCGGGGTTCTAAGAGCCTCTTGTGGTTCCCACGAGATGTTCTCAGAACACTCCCGGCTGGGGCCGTCTTGTTTTGGCGCATCGGGTTTAATGTTCTGAGAGCACTGTTTTTGTTCTTAGAACATTTGTGGGTTCTAAGCACCCTTCGTGGTAGGACTATAGGAATGCCGGGATGGTCGGTCCCTGCTCAAAGAATGGGGGTTCGATGAATGGGGGGCCCTCGAGGGCCTCATGACGTGGCCTTTTAGGACCCCCTCAGAGCCCCTAAAGGGCCCGAGGGCTGCAGAAGAGTGGCGATAAGTATGGGGCAGCGAGGGCTACAGAACGGGGGCCCTCTAGGCCCAAGAAGTTTATTTTTCTGCCTCGCCCATTGTTTGCTTTTCTTCTATTTGGTTTCCCGTACGAGGAAACGCATGTTTGGCGATGGTTCTTGGTCGCCCTCCTCGCCAGACCCCGTCAAAGAACGAGCCAGAATAAAACACAGTCCCAGGGCCAGTTAACTAACAGCTCTTGCTGATAGGTTTCTAGTGGTCTCAAAAGAGAGCATCTGGACTCCTCAGGGGGGTCTGGGCGGGTGCCGTGGAGGAGAGCCGGGAATCGTTTTTCGCCGCTCTTCGACCTCCCAGAACTCCATTCCCGGGACACATTCTGGAGAACCGGGAACAGAGCCGGGCTCGCTTTTCGCCAACAGTCACACACTTCGTGCTCTTCGACCTCCCAGAACTTCATTCCCGGGCCACATTCTGGATGCCCGGAGCCAACTGTAGGCCACTTCGTGCTCTTCGACTTCCCAGAACCCCATTCCCGGGCCACATTTTGGATACCCGGAGCCAACTGTAGGCCACTTTGTGCTCTTGGACTTCCCAGAACACCATTCCTGGGCCACATTTTGAATGCCCGGAGCCCACTGTAGGCCACTTCGTGCTCTTCCATTTCCCAGAACTCCACTCCCGGGCCACTGTTGCTGCTGCTAGTGTAGCTATTGCTATTGCAACTACTGGCAGTGCCACTGCGACTGCCGCTGATGTTGCTACTGCGACTGCCACTGCGAATCCGAATGCCAGGCTGAGGCTGAGGCAGGCTGAGGCTGAGGCCGAGGCCGACGGCAGACTGAGGCTGAAGCTGAAGCAGGCTGAGGCAGAGGCAGGCTGAGGCTGAGGCTGATGCTGAGGCAGGCTGAGGCTGAGGCTGAGGCTGATGCAGGCTGAGGCTGAGGCAGGCTGAGGCTGAGGCCGAGGCTGAAGGCAGACTGAGGCTGAGGCTGAAGCAGGCTGAGGCTGAGGCTGAGGCAGGCTGAGGCTGAGGCAGGCTGAGGCTGAGGCAGGCTGAGGCTGAGGCTGATGCAGGCTGAGGCTGAGGCTGATGCTGAGGATGCTGGCTGATGCTGAGGCTGAGGCTGATGCAGGCTGAGGCTGAAGCAGGCTGAGGCTGAGGCCGAGGCTGAAGGCAGACTGAGGCTGAGGCGGAAGCAGGCTGAGGCTGAGGCAGAGGCAGGCTAAGGCTGAGGCTGAGGCAGGCTGAGGCTGAGGCAGGCTGAGGCTGAGGCTGAGGCTGATGCAGGCTGAGGCTGAGGCAGCTGAGGCTGAGGCCGAGGCTGAAGGCAGACTGAGGCTGAGGCTGAAGCAGGCTGAGGCTGAGGCTGAGGCAGGCTGAGGCTGAGGCTGATGCAGGCTGATGCTGAGGCAGGCTGAGGCTGAGGCTGAGGCTGATGCAGGCTGAGGCTGAGGCAGGCTGAGGCTGAGGCCGAGGCTGAAGGCAGACTGATGCTGAGGCTGAAGCAGGCTGAGGCTGAGGCTGAGGCAGGCTGAGGCTGAGGCAGGCTGAGGCTGAGGCTGAGGCAGGCTGAGGCTGAGGCTGTGACTGCGACTGCCGTTGCCACTGCGACTGTCATCGCGAATGCGACTACGACTGCGAGAACAGCAGAATTCTACAACTGGATTCCCATCCGAATCTTAAGGGGAATGCTTCCAGATATGCTCCTACACATCGCTGTTAGGTTGCTTTGTCGTTTTTTTGTTTTTTTGTTTTTTACCTAACAGCGTAGACTGATAGGTTTCTAGTGGTCTCAAAAGAGCTCACAGATCACTCCACAGGGGGGTCTGGGCGGGTGCCGGACAGGGTGCCGCAGAAGTCGCTTTAAGCCAACAGTCACACACTTCGTGCTCTTCGACCTCCCAGAACTCCATTCCCGGGCCACATTCTGAATGCCCGGAGCCAACTGTAGGCCACTTCGTGCTCTTCGACTTCCCAGAACTCCATTCCCGGGCCACATTTTGAATGCCCGGAGCCAACTGTAGGCCACTTCGTGGTCTTCGAGTCCCAGAACTCCATTCCCGGGCCACATTTTGAATGCCCGGAGCCAACTGTAGGCCACTTCGTGCTCTTCGACTTCCCAGAACTCCATTCCCGGGCCACATTTTGGATGCCCGGAGCCAACTGTAGGCCACTTCGTGCTCTTCGACTTCCCAGAACTCTACTCCCGGGCCACATTTTGGATGCGCGGAGCCAACTATAGGCCACTTCGTGCTCTTCCGACTTGCCCAGAACTTCTATTCGGGCAACATTTTCAGCAGGGGCAAGAGCACGAGGAGGAGGAGGACGAGCAAGACGAGGAGGACGAGGACGAGCACGAGGAGGAGGAGGAGGAGGAGGAGGAGGAGGAGGAGGAGCAGGAGAAGGAGGACGAGCAGGAGGAGGAGGAGGACGAGCCGGAGGAGGAGGACGACCAGGAGGAGGAGGACGACCGAGCAGGAGGAGGAGGACGACCAGGAGGAGGAGGACGACCAGGAAGAGGAGGAGGAGGAGGAGGAGGGGAGGGGGAGGACTACCAGGAGGAGGAGGAGGAGGAGGAGGAGGAGGAAGAGGAGGAGGAGGAGGAGGAGGAGGAGGAGGAGGAGGAGGAGGAGGAGG